ATATATATATATAAAGCACAAATTACAACAACTCTTAAACTAATATAACTGCCCTAAGTGAAGGAATATTAATATAGAAAGCACAGAGAAATTCACTTTTACAAGGATACTCACTTCCGCCCCAGCCCGGGGTTGAACTCTCGACCTACGGAATCTGTCTCCTAGCAGTGCAGAACAGCGCGTTAGACCGCTCGGCTATCTAGGCAAGTTATAAAACTTGCTTTCGATGCCGATGGAATTCTCACAACGCTGCCCTACACTACACGGTCATTGAGAATGGAAGTGAGATACAGTTATTTGGACATTAGTTTTTAGAGGATTGTTACCAATACATGTTGTGATGAAATTAATTTTTTATTTATAAAGCACAAATTACAACAACTCTTAAACTAATAGTTTAACCCAGAGTTCAACCTCGGGCTGGGGAGGAGAGTGAGGATCCTTGTAAAAGTGAATTTCTCTGTGCTTTCTATATTAATATTCCTTCACTTAGGGCAGTTATATTAGTTTAAGAGTTGTTGTAATTTGTGCTTTATATATATATATATATATATATATATATATATATATATATATATATATATATATATATATATTATATATATATATATATATATATAATATATATATATACAGTAGGTAATTCCACATTTTTGAGTTGTTGTAATTTGTGCTTTATAAATAAAAAATTAATTTCATCACAACATGTATTGGTAACAATCCTCTAAAAACTAATGTCCAAATAACTGTATCTCACTTCCATTCTCAATGACCGTGTAGTGTAGGGCAGCGTTGTGAGAATTCCATCGGCATCGAAAGCAAGTTTTTTAACTTGCCTAGATAGCCGAGCGGTCTAACACGCTGTTCTGCACTGCTAGGAGACAGATTCCGTAGGGAGAGTTCAACCCCGGGGTTGGGCGGAAGTGGGTATCTTAGTAAAAGTGAATTTCTCTGTGCTATCAATATATATATATATATATATATATATATATATATATATATATATATATATATATATATATATATATATATATATATATATATACATATACACATATATATACATATATACATATACATATACATATATACATATATATATATATATATATATATATATATATATATATATATAATATATATATATATATATATATATATATATACGTTTACGAACTGCAAGTCTGAATTTTGAACACGATTACCCCCCCCCCTCCATAGTGTTGATGTGAACACAAACCAGAAGTCTCTGTCGAGACTGAAGCTCTACTGGTTTGTACTTATAACAAATGAAGACAAAAGTAGCAGTTGGGACTTAAAACTTTACAACAGCAATAAATAAAATAATGATGCTTGGTTAACTCTTTTTGTGGCAAGATACTGCAATAAGACTACAGCTGTAGGAGTAGTTATTAATAAACTTTTAGAGTATTTACAGTTTTAATAACCATGGCAACATCATTCCTCGAAATCAACCATAAGTCTCTGTCGAGACTGTAGCTCTACTGGTTTGTACTTATCAAAAACCATTGCACTATTTTATGTATCTTTGTGTAGTCTACTTGTGTGCCAACTTATTTTGAAATCAAACTAAAACTGTAGAAGGAGTAGCATTTTAAAGGAATCTCACAAGAAATTCTATTTTTAGTTACCATGGTAACACCGTTCATCGAAATCAAAAACCGATGCACTATTCTATGTATCTTAGTGTAGTCTACCTGTGTGCCACGTTAAATTGAAATCAGACCAAAACTGTAGAATAAGTAGCGTTTTAAAGGAATTTCACAGAAAATTCTATTTTTAGTAACCATGGCAACACCGTTCATCTTAGTGTAGTCTACATGTGTGCCAACTTACTTTGAAATCAAACCAAAACTGTAGAAGGAGTAGCGTTTTAAAGGAATTTCACAGAAAATTCTATTTTTAGTAACCATGGCAACACCGTTCATCGAAATCAAAAACCGATGCCCTATTCTTTTGTATCTTAGTATAGTCTACTTGTGTGCCAAGTTATATTGAAATCAGACCAAAACTGTAGAAGGAGTAGCGTTTTTAAGGAATTTCACAGAAAATTCTATTTTTAGTCACCATGGCAACACCGTTCATAGAAATTAAAAACCGATGCACTATTCTATGTATCTTAGTGTAGTCTACTTGTGTGCCAAGTAATGCTGAAATCAGACTAAAATTGTAGGAGGAGTAGCGTTTTGAAAAATTGTTTACAGACAGACAGACAGACAGACGGACAGACAGACAGACAGACGGACGGACGACCGACGCATAACTAACGCATAAGCTCTTCTGGTATCTGACCAGTAGAGCTAAAAATTGATAAAAAGAATTGTGTATCTTAGTGTAGTCTACTCATGTGCCAAGTTATATTGAAATCAGACCAAAACTGTAGGAGGAGTAGCATTTTGAAAGCATTTCAGAGAAATTTCTATTTTTAAAAACAAAGGCAACACCGTTCATCGAAATCAAAAATCGATATACAGAATTATGTATCTTAGTGTAGTCTACTTGTGTGCCAAGTTATAATGAAATCAGACCAAAACTGTAGAAGAAGTAGCATATTGAAAGTATTTCACAGAAATTTCTATTTTTAGTAACTACGGCAACACCGTTCATTGAAATCTAAAATGGATATATCGAATTATGTATCTTAGTGTAGTCTACTTGTGTGCCAAGTTATATTGAAATCAAACCAAAACTGTAGATGGAGTAGCATTTTGAAAGCATTTCACAGAAATTTCTATTCTTAGTAACCACGGCAACACCGTTCATCGAAATCAAAAATCGATACACAGAATTATGTATCTTAGTGTAGTCTACTTGTGTGCTAAGTTATAATGAAATCAGACCAAAACTGTAGGAGGAGTAGCATTTTGAAAGTATTTCACAGAAATTTATATTTTTAGTAGCCACGGCAACACCGTTCATCGAAATCAAAAATCGATACACAGAATTATTGTATTTTTGTGTAGTCTACTTGTGTGCCAAGTTATATTGAAATCAGACCAAAACTGTAGGAGGAGTAGCATTTTGAAAAATTGTTTACAGACAGACAGACGGACAGACGGACGGACGCCGGACGCATTACTATCGCATAAGCTCTTCTGGTCTCTGACCAGTAGAGCTAAAAATGGTACTCAATTGAAAACTACAATCAATGGCCCATTTCTAAGTGGCATATTATGGGGGATGGGGCAGAAATCATATTAAAATCTGTTAAACTTAATCATCAGACTTGATCTGCTGTATAACATGTTAAATGTAAAATTAGAAATTAGTGAATTATTTATTTGAAATTTGTTTATATTACTTGCTTGCATTTTCAAAACGATGTCAGCAGGATTAAAAATAGCAAGTTTTGGATGTTTTAAATAGTAAAAACTCCTTTGCAATGCCAAGAATTACGCATTAAAAACCTAACTCATAATGTAATGCCAGTAGTTTAATCCTCACAGTGATCTTAATGTGTGATAATGGCTTGTCATCAAGTTATAAGCTATGTAACAGTTAGGGTATATTATATAATATATATCATGACATTAATTTTATGAAGGACAAGTATATTAATGTACCTAATATATCCCATTTTGGGAAAATGTCATGTTTACCGTCAGCTTGCAATCAACTATTCGTCAACTGAATCCTCGAAAACAATTGACCGGTTTTCTGAAAAGTTCAGTTGTTTTGCATAAAATTTTCTGTTGACCGTCAGACTGCTTTTTACCGAGTTGACCATTAATTGATCATGAATGCTTATACTTTGACAATTTCATGCAAGAAAGGAGTTGAACAATGTTGAACACTCCCACTATGTGAAATATTGCAGCTAGACTATACAATTACGAAAATGTCTAGTTGACCGTCATTTTATCCTCATCTAGCAGTCAACTAGTCATCAACTGAATACTCAAAAACAACCAGTGTTGAACACTCCGACTTTGTGAGAGCTTGCAAAATTGCCTATAGTTGACCACTCAATGTTAGAAAATCTCTCTGACTCTATTTATTTTGGGATTTATAAAATGGCATTATAATTATGGATCGGATTTGCAATTCCATAATTATTACAATAATCTGGAATCAAGTAACGTGTGCAAGTGGGTATTTTGTTAGAAAGTGGAGAATTTTGAATTAAAACAATTGTTTTCATGAATGATTCATCTTGTGCAATACATGTTAGTATAAAATATAAAGATTTTTCTTTTCGTCATACTTTTCTTTAAGAAATTGGAAAAACATAATACTGGAGGTAGAATATAGGTCCCTACTATTGTATACTTGTTAAAATATAATAACTTGCCGTCCGTTCACTTTTTTCTGCAAGAAAATAAAAGAGCCAGAGCAAATTATGAGAGTGTGCACATGCCTCTCATTTTTCATGCATTTATACACCCATTATTTTGACTTTTCCTACTCAGAGACAGGCACACTGATTGCCTTAGGTTTCAAAACTCCCTCCGTTATTTTTTGAAATACAACATGGACTGAATAATGGAGTATTCAACAGTGGTCAACTGCGAAGAAAATAAAGGAGAGTTCAACAGTGGTCAACTGTTAAGAAAATAGAGGAGCGTTTAACAGTAGTCACTTGCAAAGAAATTATAGGGATGTTCAACTAATGGTTAACTGCACAGAAAATATAGAGTATTCAACAATTGTCAACTGCAAAGAATATGTAGAGAATCGAACAGTGCACATAATAAATAGGAGCATTAAACGTGGCCAACTATATGCAAACGAGCTGAAAGGTCCTTCGCTTGCATTGCAAAAATTCAATTTATGGTGAATTGACGGTCAATTGACGGTCAATTAATCGTCAATTAAGGAACAAACTGAATACTCCGATTGAATTCTAATAGTCTGTTTTCGTATTTGATAGCGGAAGTTTGTAGATATAGAAGCGGCTATCAAACCCATTAAACTCGGAAATATAAATTATAGGTATTCTTTTGCACATTTAAATGAATTTTACAACGATATAATGCTACCTTTTGCGTGCTCGGAACATCGATATCACTTGTCTCCTCATCACAAACTTCTTCCTTCACTTCAATTCGCTGGAGTAAAAGCTCTTCTGTCAAAATAATGCATATGAATTTAATTTAATACACGCTTACCTTTGAAGCGTACGGAAGCCCATTTAGGACCTATCAAAAATATTTTTGAATTCGTTATAACGATTTTTAGAATTCGTTATAACGAATTTAATTTGTTATAACAGATTTTTAGAATTCGTTATAACGAATTTAATTTGCTATAACAGATTTTTAGAATTCGTTATAACGAATTTAATTTGTTATAACAGATTTATTGAATTCGTTATAATGAATTTAATTTGCTATAATAGATTCATTGAATTCGTTATAACGAATTTAATTTGTTATTACAGATTTATTGAATTCGTTATAACGAATTTAATCTGTTATTACAGATTTGTTGAATTTGTTATAACCAAATTCTTGAATTGATTATAACGAATTCAACAAATCTGTAATAACAGATTAAATTCGTTATAACGAATTCAATAAATCTGTAATAACAAATTAAATTCGTTATAACGAATTCAATGAATCTGTTATAACAAATTAAATTCATTATAACGAATTCAATAAATCTGTTATAACAAATTAAATTCGTTATGACGAATTCAATGAATCTGTTATAACAAATTAAATTCGTTATAACGAATTCTAAAAATCTGTTATAACAAATTAAATTCGTTATAACGAATTCTAAAAATCGTAATAACGAATTTAAAAATATTTTTTGATAGGTCCTAAATGGGCTTCCGTAGAAGCGGATAAGTTATTCAATGATCTGAATCAAAACAAGGATAAGCTAATACATAGAAATATGTAGTTCAATATATTAAAATACGTTTATAAAGGGTATTTAATAGTTGGATATTGTATAAAAACAGGATATTAAAAAAATATTTTATCTTGCTTCTTAATCCCCTAGAAAATGAATATCTTTCAAACAAGTCTAAGATTTCCTTGTTCTATACAAGGTTTTTTTTCTCAGAATATCAATCCATTTTCCCAACAGAACACTCTAAAAATACTAGGTCTAGTATGTATAAAGATTCATTCTAAAGATTTTCTTAATAATGATTATATGCATAATTCTTCGCTGAGCAACATGCATATGCTTAATTTCTGTTGCATAAACATTCTAAGTAACCCGCTTAGTCATTCTTAGCTTAGTGTGTCTTAATTTCAACAAGAAAATATTTTAACTCCTTTACTCGGTGAAAATGAAAGTCATGGGACGACAGGGGGAAACAGGATAATCTGGGACAATGACTGGGGACAACAGGGTGTGGACAGGGAGGTCAGAGAATGTCAGGGGACGACAGGGAATAAACACGGATAACAACCGTGGACGACAGGGAGTGGACTGGGAGGTCAGGGACAACGATAGGGGAATATAGAAGTAGTCAGGGAGCGACAGGTATATGTCAGGGACTGACAGGGAAACGAAAGAGGATTTTTTGGACTCTAAGGGGATAATCACAGGCCTTTAGATCGCTTTAATCCGACTTTAAAAAATGGGTTGTTAAAATATAGTTTTTATACACCCCCATTTTTTTTAAAGTTGAATTTAAGCGATCCAAAGGCCCGTGGTGATAATTGACTCAGCAGTGCATGCAGAAGTTTTTGCCTAATTTAATGATGCTTGTAGGGGTTTAAGAACCGTTTGGGGAACATTTGTAACAGTTTTCGTGTCAATAAGCGCTATTTCATTAGACAACGGAATTTTCTTTTAGAAATGCACAACAACCCATGCTCTCACTTTTTTGTAGCATTTTTGTGCCACTTTTTGAAATTTTCCAACTTACCAAATTTGCTAATAACTCTCTGTACATGTCCAGGCTGGTTACTATCAATTTCATCGATCTCCATTCCTACCACTTTCATGTAATAATTTTAAAAATCTGTCAAAATCAAAAGATTTTCAAATGCAGTTGGAACGTTTTGTTTAAAAAAAATTCATACAATTCTGACATATTGAAATTAAATGAAATAATAATACTTCAGTTAATTATCAAATATACGATTTATATACTTAGAAAATTTGATGCTTATTAATATTTATGCATTTTACACAAGCATTTCTTTTCAAAAAAGTTGTTTGAAAAAGTAGTCACTTTACCTTGTAGGAAAAACTAATCTGTTAAATTATCGCATCTACTTTGACGATAGCGGTGTCCATGTCTGTTATTCTTTGGTACGAAATGTAGTCTTTACACACATTTCGCACAGATTACCCTGTTGGGTTTGAGTTTTTAGTGTAAGTCAACCCCCATTTTATACTATTATCTCAGATAAGTGCATATAAAAACATCAAGTATGTATTTAATGAATTTTATTGTGGCGATAATTGGGCACGGCTGTTTATCCAGAGACACAAATTATGACAAGAGGCCCATGGGCCACATCGCTGACCCGAGCATTGTGGCAAGGAAAAAGTAGAAATTGGTTTACAATACTATTGAAAAGTTAAAATCCAAAAGTTTGGCCCCGCCCTACCCATGGGGGTCATGATTTGAACAAACTTGAATCTACACTACCTGAGGATGCATCCATATAAATATGAGCAATTATGGCTTTGCTATTCTTGAGAAGAAGATTTTTAAAGAGTTTTCCTATATATTTCTATATAAAACTTTGGTTGCCCATTGGTTGCAAAACAAGAAACGAGAAATGAGGAACAACAGAATATAAAAACATAAACAATGACCTTTAAAATGTCAACCAAGGGGGTCAGTTTTTGCCTTGATTTAATTTTGTTAGACAACAGATGCTGAGTGAAATTAAAACATCTGACTGCTTTGCTTATCCATTAAGTCTTGACACATTTAATTAAAAATCAACAGCTGAAAAGTACATGCACATGTAATTAACTGGTGAGAGTCAGGTCTTTTCAAATAATAATCTGATTGTTACATAATCAAAGAAATAAATAAAGTATTGAAAACCACATTCATACAAAAATGTAGTAAAAAAGCTATTACTAGTATAACATTGATATAGTGCCCCAGTAGAAAAACATTTCACGTGTTTATCACCAAATTATCACTGAAAGTATCATTTGATCACAAACTTATTATTGTAAGCAAAGGTTCTTTCATGTAATAGAATTGTATTATTTATATCTGCTAAGATTTTCTAATTTTTCTGTGTGAAAGTTGTGCGGGTCATTGATAAATCTAAGTTGGAAGTTGAAATCATTTCACTATGCATCTTTCATCTTACAAAATGAAGTCACTTACTTAAGCTCCTCCCCCTTTATTGACATTTTAAGTCATAAGTTATTTTATGCTGAATCTCATTCCATTGTTTCTCGTTTTGAGTTTTTCGTGTTATACACATACTCCACAAAAAACACGATTTGGTGATATTTTCTATATTTTTAAAAATGGGTCTAATTTTCTATTGGTTAAGTTTACTTTAATTGTCCTTTAAGGGTGTATTCAGAAGTGAAAAAGAATTAGATTACACGATCAATATGTACTGGTCCCAGTGAAAAAGCGGGTAAGAACATTGTCTTGTAAGGCTCATTATTAGTCCCCTACCGGTGAAACCGGAGGGGACTAGAGGTTTCCTCTGCGTCTGTCCGTCCGTCCGTCTGTCTGTCTGTCTGTCTGTCTGTCTGTCCGTCCGTCTGTCCGTCTGTCTGTCTGTCTGTCCCCGTCTGTCTGTCAGTCTGTCCCACTTGGTTTTCCGCACTTTTTTTCTAAACGCTTGCAGATATTGAACTGAATTTTGGTATGTGAGTGTATAATAATAATATAATATATGAATTTATAAAGCGCTAAATATTAATAATATAACTCTAAAGTGTATCTTGATGAGTCACAGATCAAGTTTGAATTTCGCACCGCTTCATTGATTTTTGACAGAATTATGGCATTTTAAATTTTTCACTTTCGTTTAATTAAGATCGGGTTCGTGCTGCGCTAACTTCCGATGGTCGACATCAATACGAAGCGAGAAAAAGACGTTGGAAAAATGAGTTGAATTTTCGTATTAATGTGGATTATTTTATTAGGTTTAAGGCATTCACAACCTAAAAAATTATACAGCTTTACCTTGGACATAACTTTTGCATATTACAAAATGACATCCTCAACATCCTCAAGGACAAGGGGAACCCGGTAGGGGACATGTATTGCTTATGCAATACTCTCAGGATGCTTGTTTCAGTTGTATTTAGGAGCAGCTGGGAATTCAGTGGCGTATATTCCTTAACGCTTATGTGTAGTCACAGATTTAACATGAGGCGCAAAATGTGGGTAGGCAAGGAGCTCCCTCTCGATAAGTATTGGGAAGGGGTTCAAAGGGAACATTTTTTTTCAAACTCAAAGACCTCTACATTTTTAATGTGACCAACAAAAATAATATTGTAGACATATCTTCAGTTTATATTGTGATAAGAATACTACTTAACAAAACTAAGAACTCTTAACTTATCTTCTTACTCTGATTAGAAAATATGGAAACTTCCTTAACGAATAATCAAAATTCCAACAATACGTTCAATTTCCTACTAACAAAATATATTTCCAGTTATCAATTTCATTTCCTGCACTATGG